GGTGGATCACGAGGTCAGGAGTTCAAGGCCAGCCTGGCCAACATGGTGAAATCTTGTCTCTACTAAAAGTACAAAAAAAATTAGCTGGGCATGGTGGTGGGCACCTGTAATCCCAGCTACTCAGGAGGCTGAGGCAAGATAATTGCTTGAACTTGGGAGGCGGAGGTTGCAGTGAGCAGAGATCGTGTCACTGCACTCCAGCCTAGGCAACAGAGCAAGACTCCGTCTCAGAGGAAAAAAAAACAGTAGGGGCCGGGCACAGTGGCTCACACCTGTAATCCCACTACTTTGGGAGGCCAAGGCAGGTGGATCACGAGGCCAGGAGATCGAAACCATCCTGGCTAACACAGTGAAACCCCATCTCTACTAACAATACAAAAAATTAACTGGGCATGGTGGTGGGCACCTGTAGCCCCAGCTACTCGGGAGGCTGAGGCAGGAGAATGGCGTGAACCTGGAAGGCGGAGCTTGCAGTGAGCCGAGATCCAGCTTGGGTGACAGAGCAAGACTCTGTGTCAAAAAGACAGAGAGGCAGAAAGAAAGAAGGAAAGAGAAAGAGAGAGAGAGAGAGACAGAGAAAGAAAGACAGTAGGAACAGAAGCTCAGAGAGATTAAGCAACTTGCTCCAGTCACACAGCTAGTTAAGTGGTAGAGCCAGGGACTGGACCTAGGGGGTCACTCCACCCTGGCGTGCAATGCTGCCACCTCTCACACTTGCCCACGTCCCTCATCTTCTTGGTGCTCTCCTCGTGCTGCTGTTTTCTATAAACAGTTGTTTCTGGAGAGAAAGGCATATGGAAGGACTTCTCAACACCCCTCCCCATCCCCAAGGGACACTCACATTGTTGGCTTCTCGGACCAGCCTCTGTTCATTGTACAGAATGTGCCGGATGCAGCGGACCAGCTCCATGGGGCAGCGGTCATACGTGTTCTGAAAGAATCCAACAGCAGCCTCCAGCAGCCAACCTCTGCTCCAGCCATGCCAGTCCCATGCCATGCCCAGCCCTTCCTCTCCTTCAGCCTCTGCCTCAGCTTTTCCCAGAAAGCCTCCCAGACACCTCTATCTTTCTGTTCCTCATCCTCATCTTCCCCTCCAACATCTTCATATCTGGTTTGGAGTGAATTAAAAACCCACAGTTTATGAAGCACTTTCCCTTTTTTTTTTTTTTGAGACAGAGTTTTGCTCTTGTTGCCCAGGCTAAAGGTGCAATGGCGTGATCTCAGTTCACCGCAACCTCTGCCTCCTGGGTTCAAGGGATTCTCCTGCCTCAGCCTCCCAAGTAGCTGGGATTACAAGCATGCACCACCACGCCCAGCTAATTTTGTATTTTAGTAGAGGTGGGGTTTCTCCACATTGGTCAGGCTGAACTCCCGACCTCAGGTGGCCCACCTGCCTCGGCCTCCCAAAGTGCTGGGATTACAGGCGTGAGCCACCGCACCTGGTCTTATGAAGCACTTTCAATGTACCATCTCTTTTGACTCTAACACAGGGGTCCCCAACCCCTGGGCCATGGACTGGTATAGGTCCGTGGCCTGTTAGGAACTAGACCACACAGCAGGAGGTGAGTGGCAGTGAGCAAACAAATGACGCTTCATCTGATTTACAGCTGCTCCCTATTGCTCGCATTACAGCCTTAACTCCGCTTCCTGTCAGATCAGCAGTGGCACTGGATTCCCATAGGAATGCTAACCCTATCGTGAACTGCGCGTGCGAGGGATCTAGGTTATGCACTTCTTATGAGAATCTAATGCCTGATGATCTGTCACTGTCTCCCATCACCCCCAGATGGGACTGTCTAGTTGCAGGAAAACAAGCTCAGGGCTCCCACTGATCCTACATTGTGGTAAGTTGTATAATTATTTCATTACATAATACAATGTAATAATAATAGAAATAAAGTGCACAATAAATGTAATGCCCTTGAATCATCCCAAAACCACCTCCCTGCCCAATCCCGGTCCATGGAAAAATTGTCTTCCATGAAACCGGACTCTGGTGCCAAAAAGTGGTGGGGGACCACTGCACTAACAGCATGGAAACCCTAGGACATAAGCAGAAACTATAATCCCCATTTCGCAGATGAGAAAACTGATACTGAGAGACATTATGTACTTGTCCAGATGCAACCAAGTGAGAAAGCAGATGACTCCAGACTCAGGACATCTGATGCCAAGGTCAAGGTACTTCCCACCACCCTGCCCCTGGCCTCCTATGTTGGTTCCCCTCAGGTTTCTCCTGTTTTTCCCCTCTTCTGGGATGAACCTGTATTTCCCTGGCACCCCGCTGTCTGTATTGAAGGGCTCTCTAGGAAACATAAGTGAGTTCCAATAAATGCTTGACTGTGATCACTACCCACACCCCTTTCCTGCTTCCACAAAAACTCCCTCTCTTCCTCCACACCCCTACTCCTCAAGTAAAGAAGAAGCTACATCTTATTTCTAAACACTCAATTCAAAGCCCTTGTGTCCAGCTCTTGTCTCCGGGACAGCTCCTCTCTCACCTTGAAAAAAGCCCAAGAGGGAGGTCTGGTTGCCTCATTTCTAGAGTGCTGGTCTTCCCTTCTCCAACCCAGGAATCCTGACTCAGTCTCCCTCCATCCCTTCTGCTGCTTCCACAAGGCCAGTTCACCCATCTCCCTCTGTTGGCAACAAACACCTCCCACCCTTGCTTTGCAATATGCTAAAGAAATCTGACAGGTCTAATTTAGAAAGAGGGGGTGGGGGAAATCAAAGAAAACTTCCCAATAAGTTCGTGGTCACATGGTGAGTCAGTGGCCAGGCCAGGAAAAAACCCAGGGGTTCTGATGCTGGAACAAGATGATGCTGCCTCCCCGTAGGTGGCCCAGAGCCCACACCCACCTGGAGCTGCGTGGCGTAGTGCCCCAGCTTGATCTTCAGTAAAAACCCATCTTCCCCCACCTGGTGCTCCGCCTTCTTCTGCAGCTCCTGCACCAGGCCCTCCAGGAGCTGGGTGGCTTGGGCTCTGTCCTGGGGATTGTCCAAGTCAATGGCATCCCTTGGGGCGGGGCAGGAGAGAAAAATCTACTGTGGCACCTCCTTGGGCAAGGAGGTCAGAGACCCAGAATAAAGTGGAGACCCCAGGCTCATGACCGAGGGCACTCCAGGGCCCACAAGACTTGTTCCCAGCAGCTCCACAGACATCCGAGTCTAAAACCATTCTCTGTCCTCCCAGGCTTCCCCTTTCACAGGGACACCACCCCTTCCGCACAGAGAAGGACAGGCAGGACCAGAGTCACACCAAACCACCATGAGTAGAACTAGAGGCCAAAGGGCCTGGATGGTAGGGACCCTCTGAGGAGGGGCAGAGCGGGACGTGCCTACCATGGCTGGCTCTCAATCCACTGGGCCAAGTAGTGCCGGACCTCGATGGGGAAGTGCTGGCCGTACAGCACCTGCATCTGGCGCAGCGCATCTCCCTGCAGCTGCTGGGCCTGGATCCAGCCTGCCATGGCCGTTCACCTAGGGCGAGCCGAGCGCTGAAGTGCTCTCCTCTCCAGAGGCCAAGGAACCGGGCCTGCCCCTGGCCCTGCCATGCCTACCTATCCCTGGACCGCGGTCAGGCCAGGCCCCTCCCTTCCCACAGACAGCTTTCTTGTTCGGGAACAGAGATGGAGGGCAGCCCATCCCCTCCAACGAGGAACCCGTTGAAGGGGAGGAGAAGGTGCTCTGCAGAAGCAGGTGCCCTCCCCGTCTTCCTCTCCCCTTGCCCCACCGGAGCTTCCCCAGTGGGGGGTACGGCTAGAAACTGAAAGAGAAACTTGAAGGCGGGAGGCCCACAGGCCCTCTGGAGAGGGCTGCAAGGATCCCCCCAGCCCGCCTCGGGCCCAGTTTCTGGGAAGGGGAGATATTCCAACCCAAAGTTAGGCCAGCGCCGACAGCTCCCACTCGACGGCTAGGGCTTTTCGGACACGTGGCTGGGGCTGTTCAGGAGAGAGGGCTGGGGACTCGGGCGCTCCCCTTTTCAGCTGCTCCCCCAGTTGTGCACTAGTGTCTCCCTGGGTCCAGCCCGACAGTGCTCCCTGTACGATGCGTGCCAGGACAGCGCCCTCCCTGGCCACCGCCCTTCATCCCCGACCCCTGTCCCTCCTCCCTTGTCTGCGCTGTGCCAACTCCCTCGCGGTGCCCGAGACTGATCCCCGCGCTGCGCCCGGCTGTCGGGCTCCGGGTGTCGGAGGTGCCGGG